ATGGATGCTGGATTTTGCTAAAGGCTTTTCCTGTATCTACTGAGATGACAACATGATTTTTGTTCTTAATTCTACTTATGTGGTAAGTTACATTTATTGATTTGTTTATGTTAAATCATCCTGTCAATCCTGGAATTAAAGCAAAATTGAAGTATAGTCTTCTTAATATGTTGAATATAACTTGCTAACATTTTATTAAGGATTTTTGCATCTGTGTTCATCAGGGATACTGGTGTGTAGTTTTCTTTCCTTGTTGTGTCCTTTCCTGATTTTGGTATCAGGGTGATACTGGCTTCATAGGATGATTTGGGGAGTATTCCCTCCTTTTCTCTTTCATGGAATACATTAAGGAACACTGACATTAGTTCTTTAAATGTGTTAGAATTCAGGTGAGAATCCATCTGGTTTTAAGTTGGGAGACTTCATTTCTTTGTTGGGAGACTTCATTACTGCTTTAATTTCATTGCTTTTTATTGGTTGGTTTAGGTTTTATTTTCTTGATTCAATTTTGATAAGTTGTATGTATCCAGAAATTTGTCCATATTTTTAAATTTTTGGAATATAAGTTTTCAAAGTAGCCCCTAATGATGCTCTGGATTTCAGAAATGTGTGAAGATGTCCTTTTTAATCTCTAATTTTATTAGTTTGGGTCTTTCTTTGGGTTACTTTTTAAGGGAACATTTAAGGCAAAAGTGTTAGAAATTCAAAAGGCAGTTAAAGTGTCTTGTGTAATAATTATTACTTTCAGCATAGAAAAACATGAATTTCATAGCCTTTTCTTAATTTAGTCTTTCTTCTCTTCTTTTTTTTCTCCAAATTTACACTACTTGGACAACTATAATTTTTGTTGTTGTTATGCCTGACATCTTTATGTAACATAGTTATTGCTCTTTAACTGGTGTGCATATCCTGTTTTTGAAATGTTAATCCCCAGTTTTCTCTTTGTGTACAGTACAGTAGCCATTTACTGCATACCTCCATTCTGCTAGGGACTGGACTATATAGGAAAAAATGAAGATTCAGTCAGGACCTTTTTCCTAATTTTAAGAGGTCATTATTCTGAAATAGGAATATACTAGGGAACCAGACAAATGGTTCTTGCAGTTCAGGGGTAATTACCAATTCTAATTCTTGAAGTATTATTATTGTTACTATTTTTATTTTTCCAGTGTTGGGGACCAAACTCAGGACCTTGTGCATGTGAAGCAAGCATTTTACCACTGAGCTACATCCCCAGCCCTTAAGTAATCGTTTTAAAATTTTTATTTACTTATTTACTTTTACCATGTTCTAAGTTCTTTCATAGTACTTTTATGAGAAGTATTCAAGTATGAATCCATGTTATCAGATTTTCTTAGCCTATGTCCATTTACATACCTATCCACTATCTAGATCCTGCTACATATATGTTAAACAGGTATTTGAGGTATAATTGACATAGTAAAATACATACTATTTTTTTCAAATGCACTTTTTAAAGTCTATAATTTGGTAAGTGTTGGCATGTGTATGCAATTGGAATACGTCATCAGAATTAAGATAATGAACATATCAGTCATGCTCCAAAGTTTCTTGTGTCACTTTGTCATCCTTTCTTTTAAGCCCCCTTTCCTTTCTCATGTTTCTTGTCCACTGATCAGCCACTGATCTGCTTTCTGTCACTATTAGTTTGAGTTTTCCAAAGTATCTTTATCTGGTTTTGGTATTGGGATAATTCTGGCCTCATAGAATGAATTAGGAAGTGTTCCCTCTGCTTGTGTTTTCTGGAAGAGATTATAAGGGATTAGTATTTTTTCCTTAAATGTTTGGTAGAACATCACTGAAACTGTCTTCCCCAGCCTCTCCTTGCTCTCTTCTGGGGTGAGCTGATCCAAGGTCTTGGAGTCCTCTTTGCCCAGGAAGGCCTTGTGGTCGTACTGGAAACTCTGGTTGTCCTCCGGTGGCCTCTCGCCCAGCTCTGAGTAGGGCCTCACCACGCGCTCCTTGCACACCATGGGCTTGGCCCACAGCGCCCGCAGGAGCCCTAGGAGGCGGCAGGGGCCACGGCGCGCCCTGGTCCGGAGGAGAGGGCGGCCGCGAGGGAGGCAGGAGCGGGCGACACGAGCGGCGGATCAGCTGTAGGGGCTCGCAGCGCGGCGGCTGGGCTGGGACCCCCAGGGGGAGGGACGGCCGGCGCCGCAGCCAGAGCCTGCCCCGGCCCCGCCGAGGGGCGCGCCCCGACCTCGTGCGGGCGGCTTCCAGTTAAGAGGTTTTGAATTAAAGTTTATATGTCTGATTATATCTAGCATAGATATCCCTACTCTTTTGAGATTTCTTTTCCTATCTTTTTGCTTTTAACCTATGTGTGTTCTTAGCATATTATTGGATCCTATTTTGTTTTAATCCATTCTGCCATTATTTATTTATTTATTTTTGGTTAGGGAGTTAAACATTTATATTTAAAGTAATTACAGATAAGAAAGGACTTAGTATTGTCTTTTTTGGTACTCACTTTCTATATGTTTGAAAGCTTATTTTTGTCTCTCATTTGCACCTTATGGCTTTTATGTGTTCAGTTGATTTTTTTTTTTTTTTTGGGGAGATTTTTTTTTCCCCCCCCTTTTTTTTGTGTATATTCTATAGATATTTTCTTTGTGGTAACCATGGTGATTGCATATCCTGATGTTATGACACTGTATTTTAAATAAGTACCAATTTAACTTGAATTGTGTACAAAAACAACTTTACAGGTGCATCCCCCCTTGATCTATATTTTGATTAGTGAGACAAATTACATCTTATGTCGTATACTCATTAACATAGACTTATAATTATTTTTTTGTACTTTTGTCATATAAAACATAATATAAAGTGGAGATGCAGATCAACATTATAAGACTGCTGGATCTTATATTTGTCCTTGTTTGACTTTCCTGGAGAAATTTATGCTTTTCATGTGATGTTTGTTTATTATCTGGTATCCTTTCTTTTCAACTTGAAGGATTTCCTTTAGAATTTTTTATAGGGTAGGTTTAATGGAAATGAACTTGCTCAGCTTTTGTTTATCTGGGAATATATTAATTTCTCTTTTATTTTTGAAAGAGTTTAAGTGGATATAATCTTTGTTAAAATTGTTTCCCAGTATTTTAAATATGTTATCTCATTGACTTTTGATTGCAAAGTTTCTGCTGAGAAGTTTAATAATCTTTAGGTTTATCCTATCTGGAATTTCTTGAGATTCTTGGATTTGTATATTCATGTCTTCCTTAAATGTGGGAAGTTTTTGTATGTTATTTCTTCAAAGAGCTCTCTGCTCTTTATCTCTCATCTCTGAGACTTCCATGACACATAAAATGATCCATTTGATAGTGTCCTGTTAGTCCTTAGGCTCTATTTACTTTTCTTCTTTTTTGCTCCTCTACAATTTCAGATGACTGATCTTCAAGACAGTGATTGTTTCTTCTGCCTGTTTAAATCTACTATTAATATTTCTGTAGCAAATTTTTCCATCTGATTATTATACTTTTCAGCTCTAGAATTTATATTTGGTTCTTTTTTTTTTTAATATTTCTAACTCTGTAGATATTCTTTGTTTATAGTTTCCCAGATTTCCTTAAGTTCTGTATCCTGTGTTTCTTCAGTTCTTTGATCATAATTGAAAGTTGTTTTAAAGTCATTTTTCTAGTAAATCCTGAGCCTGTTTCTTTAATGTTGGTTTCCTGAAGTTTTTTCACCTTAGAATGGACCATGTTTTTGTGTTTCTTTGTATGCATCTTTGTATGTATTATTTATCTTTTCTTAAAAATTGGGTATTTGAAAAGAGAGCTGCCTCTTAGTCTGCAGACTGGCTCTGTACTTAAGAGACCTTCATGAGGAAGCCCTGAATGAAGGCCTAAGGTTTTCTCAGCCTTCTTTTTGGCATGCATTATCCCTTGGCTTATGTTTGTGGTTTTTTTTTTCCCCCTCAGTTCCCCCAGATATGCAGCTGCTTGCTTGCCTGCAAGCAGCCAGGGGTCTTGCCAAGTTGCTGAAGCTGGGTTCAAACTTGTGATTCTCCTGCTGCAACCTCCTGAGTTGCTGGGATTACCACTATACCAGGTTACAACTGCTTTTAATATGACTTAAATTTTTAAATATACCTCACCTACTTCTTTGTGCCATATGTATTCTTTTTGTATTTATTTATACTTAATCTCTTGGATCTCAGTTTTACAGGCTATAGTTCGGTGTAGCTCTTATGAGTTATGGTGTCTACCACTGGTTTTCTTGGCTTTTAACCTGATATCCAAACTATAATTTCTTTTCCTGAGCTCTGAGTCATCTAATACAGAAACCATTCCTTTCAGTAGTCCCCAGAGAGGTCAGAACTTGGTGTTCTCTGAGCTTCCTGGATCTATGGTGTTTGTATCATTAATTTTGGAAATTTCGCAGCTATTATTACTCAAACTATATCATATTACATATAATATGTATGTAATGTTATCTCTCCTTTTTTTCCCCTCTGGAAAAATAATAATCATCTGGCAGTTCTATTATGTTAATTTAAATTTTTTTCATTTTGTATTTGAATTTGAAAATTTTTATATTTAAATATCTGTGTGCTCACTGATTTTACATTTTTATAATTTCTTTCCAGACTGTTCATTGCCCATATAAATACAACTTGCTTTTTGCTTATTGATCTTGTATTATGCTACTTTGGTGGATTTATATTGTTTGTATTATTCTGATTAAATTATTTGTATACATTAATGTTAGGCTACAATTGCAGAGGTAAAAAAATTTCAATAAGTTTTGATTAAACATACCATCTTAGGTCATGCAGAAGAATGAAGGTAAGCTAGTTAAAAAAAAAAAAGGTAGATTTTATTTTCTGTTTATGTACTTTTTTTGTGATTATTCTTCCCTAGTATTATATTCAAGAATGAAACATACTTAACCTTTTAAAATGAAAAAGTTTTGAACATTTTAAGTTTATTTTTGTAGTAATTTTTTTTTTTTTTTTTTTTTTTTTTTTTTAGGAGATGTGGCCCTCAAGAATCTTGAAGTCAAAGAAAATGCCCTGGTAGGTATTAACTATAAAAATTTTTAATGTTAGTGCATTTGATGTATTCTTCCTAATACAGCTTGCCATTCTAAATTATGTAAGTTTGAAAAAACTTTTTGGAAGTTATTTTTAAAATGTGAATTGTGTAAAACAAAGATTCAATTTCATTAAAAGCACAAACTGATATTGTGGCTCAGTGGTAGA